AAAATTTTCAATTATGGAATTAATTATCATTTATGCTACAGCATGTACAAAAAGAGCCTGCAACAAAAAAGAGGCCGAGCTGAAGTAACTCAATGAACATATTGTACAAAGGAATTATACAGTGTGTTGGAACTTGGCTTTTTCCACACCATTAAAATAGCTATTACATCTCGTTGACTGAGAGAAAGTTTTTGGTTCACGAAACATGAATTAGCTCACTCACACAGAAAAATATACCGTGCAGTGTAACATTGCGCTCGTAATAGGAGAGCGATTGTGTCCACACTACTGTGACTCTGTGCAATAAAAGAAGTCAAAGGACAGATGTGGAGGGTTTATTATCGCTAGTAATTTCATTTTTAAGGTTTTTTTTTTTCTGACATGAAGGGCCTCAATTTCAGTTGCTCAATTTCTGCTATTGTTTTTTTTCTCCGCCTTTCTAGAATGACTTTTACCAATGACTAGGGAATGTCTGTGAACTTGTTGAACTGAATAGAGCGGGGGGAGGTGGGGGGCGGTGGAAATAATGGGGTGGCGGTAATAGTAATTTCAGTCCCTTTGAGGCACTGAAAAATTGTGGTGCACTGTTTCCGCTATCATCAACGTGAATCTTGATTTTTCAACCTTTGAATCGCTCATGATTGCCAAATGGCTTTTGCAGCAATCACTTGTTTCTCTATTTAATGAGACAATTCTATCATTATTCCACTTTACATTTGCTTCGGCGAAACTAAGTCATGTGTCCAAGTCTGAGGTAAGCGTCAAGTCTTAATTCAAGTTTCAAACAAGTTAAGTCATTCTGTGGTTATACCAGTTAGAGGTCAAATCAGCTGCTCGGTCGCAACATATATGTTCGCACATTAGCAGGGGTGGGACGTGTTGCAAAAGTTGGACTGAAGTCTAGCACTGTTACTGTAATGTAGGCCCGCCAATTAAATTGGTTGATTGTCGCCCTTCAAACATTGGCCAAAAGAATCGGTCAAATGGCGATTATTTATGCCTTTATGTACTCTAACCATTCAGTTGTACGCAAGTTACACTGGTGTCATTATTTGTTCCACATAAATCTATACCATACATTGATGAGTTCCATTGTACAGTGCAATGGATTCAAGGACCAGAAAAGGGCAGTTATTTTTTGACCAGTTTATTTCCATTTGACCCCCGTTCCTCACAGGGAATAGGGAACAGGCCAGCCAGCGAATATTGAAAATCTGCAAATAACTGACAACAATTGAAATGTACTGAGGGATATAAATGTGATTTTAGCATTGTATATTTCTCAAATTATTTGGCTGATTAATTGGGAATCAATATTTTTCATGCCAAGAGTCAACGGCCTCAAAAAAATCTATTTTGGTCGTTCCCTACTTCTGAATAATAACCTCACAGCGCAGGGGTCGTGGGTTCGATTCCGGCTCAGGCCTTCCTGTGTGGGGTTTGCATGGTCTCCCCGTGTCTGCGTGGGTTTTCTCCGGGTCCTCTGGTTTCTTCCCAATTTCCAAAAACATGCATGGGAGGTTAATGGAAAACTCTGAATTGTCCCTAAGTGTGATTGTGGATGTGCGTATGTGGTTGTTGGCCGATGTGTGCCCTGCGATTGGCTGGCAACCAGTTCAGTGGGTGTATACGCATTCTGCCCAAAGACGGCTGGGATAGGCTCCAGCCAGCCCACGACCCTTGTGAGGATAAGTGGATTAGAAGATGGATGGAATTATTATACATGTAGTGCAAAATTCACATTTTCATGCTCATTAACATTTCAACTCAACCAATCTTGCGCATTAGAAGCTCCAGGATTCTGTACCTCTACTGTGCCGCAATTTCTTTCATCATTTTCAAAAATAACACATTTGTAACATGGAATCTAGAGTGTCTTGGAGAAAGGCGACTATTTGGCAAAGGTGGTTCCTAATGCACTGAATCTAGAAGAGATCTTTGAATCTCTCTGCATGTTCCATTAAGCCTCTCATTGTTATTCTGTGCTAGGTGTTATTTCACAGCAGCGGGACCGAACTGTGCACTTTAAGTGCCTGTTGATGTGCATGTGTGCTTACATTTACTCAAAATTTAAGTGCGCTCTTGACAGTCATCATGTTACAAGCTGATTGATACTGCCCTATATTTGCTTGCATACTATTTGACTGTAAACCAGGTCCCGCAAGGGTCGGTAGATGAGAGGAACAACACCTCAAAGCATCTAGTGTCGCCAGTAGATGAACACTTTGTCTTATAGAGAGAATCTTTCATTTAAAACCATCAATGTCAGATTTAATCCATTAAATAATTCCAACGTGATCCTCTGTGAGTAACCCAGTCCACACATCGCTGTATGTTGACCGCCGTTACATTGAGCTTTCTTTGAAGCACTTCACAAGTGCACACCCAAGGTGAATACGAAGCCCCGGCTGAGTCAATTTAAACGGGATAGTGATTAATTGGAATTGATACTGTTGCAAGCAAATCTCTCCACTTCCCATCTCAATTGCCCTTCCCTGATCCGTGAATATACAGTACATCACACAACGTGCGTGCACACACACAAAGCAAGACATTAATGTAAGGCATTTACTTAATGATAGGTGGCTGTTACATCATAGGATGGACACATACTGATTTAGAAGAAATATGCATAGAAGGACAAAGGATTAAGTCTCGCTCTGGTATTAGTATGCATCTTGGGTAATGAGATTTTGAATAGAGCCTCCTAAGTGTGTCAGTTCACGTCTAGCATTCAAATGCATCCCCACATGGGCTTCAAGTCACCACTTGTGATCTTGGTCTAATTTTCACGCTCTGTATGCGTGTCAATACATGCATGTTTTGACAAGTCTACTCTGCTAGAATTAAAACGTTTGGAAGAAATAACTCCAGAACCAAATTGTATTCATTGTAAACCCACTCATCCAAGATGTTGGCTGCACTAAAATTTCGGGTCACACTCATTGAAGTAGGCAGTCATTCGTGTGTGTCGAAAAAGAATAGTGTCGCGTCCACACTGCTAGTAGAAGAAGGTAGCACATTCTTTGTCAAGAATAAAACATCTTGTCATGTCTGCTAATGACTTTCAGGGCCATCTCCCCCCGTGTGCGCTTTGGGCCAAATGTCATCTCTCGTGCGCAACACAAAGCCAAGCTTGTATCTGGTTATTAGACCTGAGACCTTTGTTTTCTAGCTCAATCTTTCAAATGTCAGGCCTCTTTGGGCCAAACTATTTCAGTTTCTCTATTCCTGAGACTCATAACTTTGTCATCTCACCTGGCTGCCGAAATCGGACCGCTGCTCTTAACATCGGACGGTTAAAAAGCACAAGATATCTTGGTTAAGAAGACAAATGAGTGTGTCAAACGTTCGCCTCCACTGAAGTAATCAAAAAAAAAAAAAAAGAAAAAAAAAGCTTTCTAATGTGCTTCATATGGTCCTATCAAATATTACAAACAATTTTCAACCCTCGTAGCCTTGACTGCACCTCAGTACTGTTCAGTGTCCAGGAAGCATTGCGCTTATGGCTGCTGCGAGCATAACCAGCAAAGATAAAAGTCCAGAGAACTGCTAAAACCAAGATTCTTGGGATCATTGCGATGAAAATTTTAAATCTAATTAAATTATCAACACCACAGAATTCCCCTTTTACTTATGTATTATTCACCCACCCTTTCATCTCGTTAGCATAAAAATATAACTAATATTTAATCTTATGAAGAATATGTTCTCTGATCTCTGTAATGTGTTCAGTTGCACCTTAAATCTCCGATTGGCTGTGGTCTATCTCCAAGTAAGATTACTCCCGGACTCAGTCTTGGTCGGGGGATTTGAGGCACTGTTTAGGTGAGAGGAGGCACATGCACTACATCGCTTTTCAACAAGTCTTTCACCTCTCCAAACAGCGTTTTTACAAAACATGCACACCCACGACCTTCCTGAGGATGGCTGAATGAATGAATCTATTCATACATTTGTTTCCAATGATTTGATTAATCACTGGAATAATCCACGTAATGATCAATTCTAAAAATATACAATTGTGTTTGCCCTTCAAACAAACAACCAAACAAACAAATGGTGATGAAAATAGACACTCCAACACCACAGCTATCCCCAAAGAGGTCCCTGTAGTTCAGCTTTTTATGGATGATGGAGCGGCCTTGTTACTCATCTCCCCTAATTACCCAATGCGGTTTACATATTGTAGATTCCCCGTAATTAAAGTCATCACATGCAGTTGTTTGAAACTCATCCTGTGAGTATTGGTTTCAGATCACTGGCAACAAACACTTGAAATAATTATTTGATGCTGCGGTGAAATTGGAAATAAGCGCCAACAGCACGTGGAAACTGTCATATTAAATTAGCTTTGCCTGTGTCTGGTGTTCTGCGACAAATATTAACCATTTTGGTGAATATTTTTGCTCTCAAATACACTTTATTTGGGATTTGCAGTTTGGCTGGGCAAGTCATCGAAAGTTCATCATGATTTTGATTTTGGCTTCTGTTGAGCATCAAACCATTAGAATCGAAGAAAAGCTATTAATGTGCCGAAACGTACCCTGTTGCTTGTGCAGCAAGCGTGTGTCATGTTATGGATTCCACCCTCCCTCAGAATGCTTTGCTATTTCATGCCACGCCAGTTGGAGTTGACTGTAAATTTAAACACACAACACACACATGGTGTATTTGAAAACAAGACATTCTTCATTTTCAAAACTTCGCCAGTGCTAATGCTAATGATATTGTAAAATCGTATTGGCCATGCCAATAGGAAATGAACATTAAGCTCCTGGAGTGATTCTTCACATATCACATATTCCGTCCCTAAAATTTCAGGTAAGAGGCCATTGTGCTCCAAGTTGGGGGGCGGATAGTTAGTCTGGGACCCCGAGCATAGAGGTACCTGTCATTGCAAAGTATAAATATGTTTGAAACTGCAATGGTTTGTGACATATTTGATTTATTTGAAAATATTGTTCATGTCAACATTTGTCTCTGTCTCCCTTTCGAAGGAATGCCCAGGTTCGCCAGCCAGCCAGCACCTGCAACTGTTCGTCAAGGTGACAGCCAAGTCATGGCTTGTGAGGTCAACTCGGACCTTGTCCTCTTCACCCGCTGGGAGAAAGACCGTCAGCCCCTGGAGCTCAACTCGAGGCTGGTCCAGCTACCCAGTGCTGCCTTGGTGATCAGCAACGCCACAGAAAGTGATTCTGGTCTTTACCGTTGCTTGGTGGAGAATGTGGGCTCATCAAAGTCCAGCGAAGAGGCACAGCTCCAGATCCTGTCAGGTATACACTATGTGGAGTCAACAAGCAGGCGGTTGCCCAGCATCGATGTTAAGGCTGTTTTGCGTTGACAATTTTTAAGTAAAAGCCAATATAAACTGTTGTTTTGGCTGCACATTTCTATAGTACCCACATCATGAAGACTTAGCCTGATTTACTAAGTTCTCAAATAGTGGATGCTGAATTGTTCACTCTAAACAAATTCCTCGCGCTATTGTCGGGAATGTCGCGCATAATCAACTAAAATGATGAACGACTCTGGGAGAGGCCAGCACTGATTGCCACAGTTGTGCTCAAATGATTCAGATGCAAGGAAATGCAAGGAGAGAGAAAGAACACAATTTCCCGTATGATTTGAGTCTTCCTTGCTGTGCTATATAGACGATATGTCTCTATTTATTTGTTTCTGGCATTTCAAAACAAACCAACAAAGAAGTGGTGAACAAAATGTCTCATTTTTGTTCACGTCACAATATTAAGTTGGCAATAGCTGAACAGAGCTAAACAATCACTCAATAATTAAATGAGTTGTTGATGAATTTGATAATCGATTATTTCTATTTCTCGATGATTCATTTTGACACGTCTGCTCTCTCTTAATGTCCAATGTGTTGGTTTTTAATTGCAATAGGTTTTTTATCAATCACAGGGAGCAATCGTCCAATCATTCATGATTCATTGCTAATGTTGTCCGAAGCGGATTGTCATTTTGAAATGTCCAAAACATGGAGCATCATCGAGAAATAGAGATGTGTGTTTAGTTTTCTTTCTCTCAGTTTTTTTTTCCCCCCCACTGTGACTACTGCTGGTTCTAATTTCAGAGGTAAATGACGTTGGCGCTGAATTGCCTGTAATGAAAACTGTACCCAGCTGGTGAGAGTGTTGTTGCTTTTGGGGATCTTATCAGAGAAAGCCTCAGAAGTCGGGAATTCCTCTGTGGCACTGTCTCGTCTCATCCCCCCCCCCCCCACACACACACACACACAATTTGTTTACTAAGTTGTGAGGCACCAAGCTCCTGCCGGCAAAGAGAAGATATTAAAAGCCATAAATTATTCTTCAACAAGAGTGAGGGATGTATATCTCTTTGTCTCTTCCATGGTGCGTGGTGACAAAAGCTTGCCTCAAAACAGAGCGTAATCAAAGAAGTATATGAAGAAAATATGACTTTTTTTTCATCAGATGTTTAAGTGACAAGGAGGTAAACATTTTTTGTTTGTTTGTTTTTCAGTTCATTAGTTTGGGGGAAATTTGGTGCTCGTATGCACTTAAAATTTGTGCATTAATTAAAACTACGGCAAACTAATGGTTAGGGCACAGATAGAAGCCAAACATGACTTTGTGGTTATTGCAGGTCGATGCAATATAATGCTGTCCCTAAGAGTTATGGGAGATTTTTTTTTTTTTTGCGCTCCAGGGATGATTTCTTTTTCTTTTTTGTTGTCGCGCTCCAGAGAGCTAACTGCTTTCAAGTGGTCGACTTGGACATTTTTCATGCAAGCGCTCTCGGTTCTGGTGTCAAGAACAACTGCGGCTGGGACCTGAGCGCTTTTGAAGTGTTTTAAGACAGATGAGCCTCTTAATTTGAACGATGGCGCTGTGGCTCAGTAACTCACTCCAAGATTAACCCCTGCCATAACCTAGACTTTCCTTTTTTTTTTCCTCATTCCAGAAACCGGAGACGAGAGGAAGCTGGAGTTCCCCGTGGAGCCTGCGCCTGTGACCAAGGTCCTGGGAGCCAGCGTCTTGTTGCCCTGCGTGGCCACAGGTTTTCCAACACCACATGTGCGATGGATGTTTAAAGATAAACTTCTAGAGGAAAGGTATGAGTATTCAACTTTGACATTGAGTCTGATTGTGATTATTGATTTTTTTTTTTTTACCCGTTTCTAAAATTTGAAATGTTACGGTCTAAAAGAGGATAGGAATTCTGATTACTTCATTGTGTTTAGTGTACCAGTTTGTTTGAAATTTGAAAGTCCAACTCGTGACACAGAAGAGGTCTGAAACTTGAGGATTGTTTGCAACTGTGCTCATCCATCTCCTGGAAATTTCTGTAAAGTAAGTCCACCAGCCGGTAATTAACTAAAGTAACACACTCTACTCTGCATAGAGACACACGAGCATGGAGAAGATGAAACTTGCTTCGTGTGCTTTTTGAATCTCCACAAAAGAGTCATGTTTTTTTATTTTTCCATTGGCCTATGTCACACTAATACACATGGACAACTGAGTGGCTTTTTAAAATGGTTAGAATGAGGAATTTCACTCCTCTAATATTACAAAACAAACCAAATCAGCCATTAAATGTGGTTTAGTGCTTGTGTGTTAGGAAAACACGGGTCGATGCTATTTGCGTAGTGGCTATGCTTTGATTGATAGGTAAGTAGGTAGGTAGATAGGTAGGTCCCGGTAGCTAAATACTCAACGTGGCTTTGTGCTTTTTTTGTTATTTGTTTTATTTTTGTCCCTTTTTTGTACCCTCCTCCCAAGCTGAGCGTGGGTATGGATAGACGGATAGACGGATGCCACGTTCAGCATCTTCTGGCTCTCATTCAGACCTTACTTTTAAAATGCAGCAGAGTATGAAATATTGCTGCTCGTTGGTACTGCGCCCCAAGTTGTTAATGCAGTTGAACCAGAAATCACCCCAGGGGGGTACCTGGACGTGGCTTACAAGCCACTCCGTGCGCAAGATGAGTTTGCCAGCTTTCCCGCGGAGAGGAAGTTCACAAATTAGGAACCTCGCACCTGTGCTCTCACTCCTATGGAGCTCATTATCTCACCAAGAGCAGCTGAAATCCGTAACTGAGAGTTTTCTTAGACATAGGAAGTCAGACTCTCACCTCAAAAGTAGGTTATTTTCGATGCCTTACACATTGTAGCAGATCAATAGAATGTTGACTTTACAGAAAGTAGTGCTTCATCTGTGTTGATGCAAAACAAAATTGGATTCCTGTTTGCTAACCTTTGATACTGGGTGATGAATTTGACATCCACTTGGGTGGTTTCTATACATACTACATTTCTATTTCAAAGTCTTGGAATACCTCATCTTCACCTCTAAAGGGAATGGGTTAAAAGGTAGCTATTAATCTAGCTTTTAATTACCAAATTCCATTCGGCATAAACACCCGCCCCCAGGTTACCCATACCGGTAATTAGCAAGTTCATTCTAAACAACAGGGAGCGTCTTTTAGGAGGTTCAAGTAAACTCCGCCTGACTGCCTTCAGAGCTGAAATGGATTGTGGAGTGAAGCCATTACCACATTTTGATTTCACTGTGACATTGATGAATGAAAGAATAGCCTTTGTTGTCCTTGAGTCTCCTGTTGTGCGCTAGCTGAGAGCTAGATACTCCTGTCAGTTCCTAATTAATGCACACGTGGGAGTGAGAGAAAGGAAGCGGCAAAGAGATTGTCTTAATTGGTCTTGGAAGCACGACGCAAGCGGGGCCTTGAAAGTGACAACATCAATGCTAGAGAAGCGAAATGCTTTTTGGTGGGACTCTTCAAAGCAAGCCAACTGAAATGTGGGGGAGTCTGACAGGAAGGAATTCTAATTTGTCTTGTTTTTGTTTTGTGTTGTTTTTTTTCTCATTCCTCGAAGTCTAACTGATTTGAAAGACAAACCATTTGCGTTAGTTTTCAAAGCTACTGGTTCTCAAACACCTCACTCATACTTTTTTTTCCCCATTTTTTACTTGCCGCGATGTATCTTTAATTTTGTGCACTTTATTTGGAGTATGCAGGAATGCTGCGGATTTATAATCCTCCATTGTTTGTTTAAACAGGGATGAGGAAAACACCTGACAGAAATACAGAGCAGGTGGTTGTCTTTTAGTCTTTGTGATATGTGCTAAGTTATATATTTCAAAACAAACAGCAACAACAACAACTGTGCTGAAGTGTGAAGTTAACATTTTGTCTTCTTGCGGCATGTAGAGGAAGTTTGCAGAGACCTTTTCTGGACTGATTGACTTTTGAAATGTAGTTTAAATCTCCTTACCAAAAGTCAAGTAGTTAACTGACTGAAGTTTTGGTCAGCCTTTAGTATTTGTTGTGGTGCACAGGTCATCATGTTTTTTGTGTAGTATTGTCATTTCTAGTTGTCATGTTAAATGTTTTACACCCAGATGGAACTTAACATTGGGTTGTTTTTTTTTTTTTTTGTCATATCTGGTTACCATTGTTGTAGCACGACAAGCCACAATTGAGACGATCTCAGAGAAAACAACCAACATATCTAGCGATTTCAATGAATCTCACTCGGTGTGTTACATCAGTTTTATTTATCAGGGCTAAGAGCCACGCACAGATATTGGTACAAACTGCCTTTTGTTTGGACAACTGAACACATGCTTTATGAAGCTATATTCCTTGCTGGAAAGATGGACTAGAGCAGGAGTGTCAAACTCATTTTTGGCGCGGGCCAAAAATGAGTTTTCACTTGGAGGGCCGTTTTGACTGAAACCATACAAAGAAGTCAAGAATAACTGTTGATTCAACTATTGTTTAAGTTATTATCATGAGGGGTTTGGTAACAAGAAAATGCTTAGAATATATCTCTCATTTGTTACATATGACAATTTAAAATTTTGGTAGACATTTTGGAAAGGATCATGGAAGTTGACATGTTTGAGCTGCTTTCGCGGGCCACATAAAATGATGTGGCGGGCCACATCTGGCCCCCGGGCCTTGCGTTTGACACCTGTGAACAAGAGTATTTGTAATTGATTCATTCAGATTTTAATTTGGAAAATGTCAAGTTGTCAACCACAGTTGGTCAATGTCATGGTAAGTATTCCACAGTACATTCTCTCGCCTTTGATCAGTATGCACTGGCCTAAAGCTGCATTTATACTTGGGTTTCACATTTGTCACTCATTGATGTAGAACAGAATCATGACTAGCAGATATTTGACCTATCAGCCAATTAGTTTAAAACACAATGTCAAGATACTGTACATCATGTAACTTGCACAGCAAGTCATTTTGATGTGATGCCGTGTTACGTAGAAACCCTTTTCATACAGTAGCAGCGATTTTCAGTCCACTGGATATTTAGTGAAGGGGTCTTCACACAGGGGCTTCAAGAAAACCTTGGTTTTGCTCCGTATGCAATACCAATGTGTTCTGACTAAACTTGGATCCCCAATGCTGACTGTACATTATTGCACTTTGTCAACATGACAAGTTATTGACATTGCCACTCGCTAAGGAGGCACAGCAAACACTGTGTCTGAGCTCTTTTTGTACACACAGCAACTGATGACACTCATGAAAAGTCATCTTTTGTTTTCACTCCGTTGTCTAATAAAATCCTCCAGTAGTCAATGAAATGGATGAATTATGCATGGCACCCTGCAACCAACGAATTGATAGAGCATGTAAATCAACCTTCTTTCCAAATCCTGTCACTCCTCTGTCTGCCCTCCTCCTTGTCCCCTTGAATTTATGTGACGGTGGAGATTGCGTTCAGTCGTGTCGGAAGACAGAGAAGAGTGTGGCAGGAAATTTGTCTGAAATTGGACTGCAGAATAAACCTATCATGCAAATATCGTGCACACAGAAACCCTTAAATTGGGATATAGAAGAAACACACAAACATTCACCTTTAGGTGGAGGCCTCCCTCCTGCTGTTTCGCAAAGCTTCGAGCTCTATGCACCAAAGGAAATGAACTATTGCTTTATACCTTTTTACCCATACTTTATTCTAGTCTTCTGACTGAATTTAATAATGTTTATACACAAAGGACTCTACAAATATTTATACACGGCCAGTAAGAGCACCGCAAAACCTTTTAGAATCTCTTTATCAAAAGCATATATTATTGGACATAAAATGTGCCTGTGAGATCGATAAAATAGTCCCCTGGTTGTTTAATAATTCCGCCTTGAGACCCGAAAGCTACTTGTGCCAAAGTTTCTCCTCCACAATACACTTGTTTTGACCCAAGAGCCACTTTCTGAAGTAAACTCATCAGCCCCCGATTTGAATCCTCAAAGGAGAAAAAACATCCCTTCATCATGGCTTTGTAACGCTCTTGAAGATTTGTCTTTGCTCTGAATGCACTTATTTGAACTTTTCAGTTTTTCACATGCATAGACACATGCGCCCAGGCGCACACACATACACAGTAAGTGAAAGAGAGTTAATCGAGAGAGGTGGGTTAAGTTAAATTGGTGATACCCTGGCAAGGACAGAATGCGCATGTTGAAACCGAGCAACGTTTTTTTTTCATAAATAATTGCAGAACAGACATACACTTCTTAGTGTGAATAACATTTTCTATGAAACACATCACATAAGGATGGAAGCAACAAAGAAATGTTTCAAGATAATTGGAGAAGTTGCTGGAACTTCAGATACTTTGAGGATGCATTTTAGTGCATCACAAAAAAAAAAAAAAAAAACTACTAAATTGTCTCTTTCCGACATCTGTTTGACACCATTTCCTTCGTGCACCAAAAAATGTTAATTCAATAAGATGAAGCGAAACAGATGATCAGTGCAAAATATATTCATAGCGTCGGTAGGGTGTGCTGTGTATTTGTCTCGGGATGATGTAAGGAGGTAATTTCTTGAAAACATACAAAATAACCCATCCTGCCAAGTGTAGGAACTCAGTGGGCGTCACTATTGTACATTAAGATCATCAGCCTCCCACTGAACACACGCAGCTTAGTAGCACATCCAAACCCTGTGACCGCACCAGGGGGCATCACGGCTGGTTACCCACTTTGTTTATCCGCAATCAACATTTTATTTATGCATGAAAAGCGAGATTAGATTGTGCTTCCAGGGGAAATTCAGACTTGAAGGATAGAAGGACAGTCTTCAGCATATTTTACACGATGATTATATTTACTTACACATTTTGTACATGACACAACCTGGAGATAATCACAAGCTGTATGACATAGCAAGATAACAGCACGCACCAACATTTTTAACACAACAGCATCAAACCAAGATAGGATTCTTCTTCTTCAGGAACTTGTTTGGGTTATAAAGCAGCGAAAAGTGACAACTTAACGAATAACTCTAACCTTCTGTGGTTGTCAAGTGCAGTCCCTCCGATTATGTAGCCCCCTGAAAGGGAAACAAATTCACGAATGACAACATCCGGAACAGCATGCTCAATAAAAGGAGTTGGAAGAGGATGGTGGGATCAAGGGGAGCAGGCAGATGAAGAGCACAACAAAAGTAGCTTCACACAAGACGATTTCTAGATACAAATGGATCATTTTTCTTGTGGCTGCTCGCTTTCACGATAAGTCTCAAACAAAATATGACACAATCATAAAAGAGTTTGTACCGCACAGTGAAATAGCATGTAGTTATTCTATCTGTCACTATATGTGGTGACCATGGAAAATGAACAATTAACATCTGTAGTAAAACATATTTGGGGGCGGACCAATGAAGTGCAATTGGTTGGCACACGGTTTGGGAATCAGTGGTGTCGAGTGTTGGAAATAAAGGCAAGCAGTTGATGCCTGCCCACATGGGTATGGACACTGTTTGCTCATGACTTGTCTTTTGGGCTTCTGCTGCTCCATGTGCATCGAGAAGTCGAGGAACGTTGTCTGGAAGTGGAACTTTTTAAAAATGTAGCGATATAAAAATAAATGTGCGTATGTGGATTTGCCAAGGTCACCACTGACAAACGTAACCCGATGCACCCTACCCCAGCATCATTTCATAACTAAGTGACAGAATTGCACTTGTCACTTACTGTGGCGGTGTGACACATGACACATTGCTAAACACAAATACCGGTACTCCCTGCACTCATGAGATGACTTATTATCAACAGAAAGTAATGCTGGTTATAGTTTGGGTAAACGTGAATCTGGGCTCACTGTAGTTTTGCTTACCTTTTGATTTTGGCATGGCTGCCGCATCACTTTGATTATTTTGCTCTAGATACTTGGCCAGCCAGGGTGCCAAGTCACTGGCTGAGGAACTTGATGTGGAGGTGGTTAATTACAAGAATGTGTCAATGGAGAACAACCCATGCTGACATTTTCAGAATTAGGCAAATTATGCAAGATTTACAAGGTTGTTTAATTTCATAATGGGTGAGCAGACACTCCTGGGAACCACGCATTTGCACACAAACATTGTAAAGTCAATTTTTCTATATGTCCCTCTTAAGAATGGAAAAAAAAGGCAACTACACAAAAAAAAAAGGTTTTACTTGATAGTTTTTTTTTTTTATTTTTTTTTTATGACAGCTCTTATTCGACACCCCTTCCACTTGTGCTCCAAAAACATGACCCCTCCCCAACCAGCAACCCATCACAATGACACTAGGCTGCATAGTTTTCCGAGATGTCCTGGCCTTGTCACCAGTTTGTGTTAGGGATGACTGAGTCAACACTCGCACGTAAAATCACCCCTTTTCCAAAGTTGTATGGGACTGCCATTGCCTTCAGAGAGCCTTTTTTTTTCTTATGGAGAATTGTGTTGGAAAAATGTACTTGTTGACAGGGATGTGCATGTCTTACGAAGGTGGATATCCCTGAGAGAAGAACAGAGAGATGTGATGTGATGACATTCACATGACTCTTTCAACATCACTGGCAACTTTATCCAGACTGCTAAACACAATGTCAAATGAATCTCTCTCTGAACGTTATTATCATTGTGTGGACCAGAATTTGTCTGGGATCAGTAAATTCTGGACCTACATACTTTTGCAAGGGCAGAATATTTTATGCAGTTCTGATATTGGATATTATCATATGGTGAAAATTGTCATAATATTGTGGCTTCATAGTGTATGGAGTTGAGACTTTGGTGGAAAGACAATTGTTTTCATCTAACATGCCGAGTGTACACTGTCAGTGCTTTGAAACTATCATGGCCAGTCCTGAAGTGAACAGTGTGTTTTCTGTCAAGATGGTCACAGCGTGTCGAGTGCCCGCACTGACTGTTACCCACTCAGGGAGAAAAAAAAAGAGTTGCAGTGGAGGCCCTCCTTGTAGCTGCTGAAAAAAAAAAATCAACCTGCAACACTTCACTGCACGCATGTTTCTCTCTTTCAGAACCTGCATCCCTCAGCTACTTTCAACGTTCTGTGACAGCATTTGGATAATATCCCTGTTTACCTGCCTTTTCCTTTTGTTCCGATTCTCTCTCTCTCTGAATGTACCGTTCTGGATGTAAGCTATTGATGTGTATTTTTCTCCACCCTGCCCCCAATCTTCCTTTCCGGTGCTCCAGTGGTTGGTTGTTGAATCAAGCCTTAGCTCGGCCACAGCCCTTTTCGGCTAATTGGGGAAATCAAAGTGGTTGCCGTTTACTATGGAGGGTCAGTGGTTCACTGGAAAGCCGTGTGAGTGTATTTCTAGGGCTGGTGTAAATATTTGAGAATAAAACGTTAACTAATGAAAAGCATGGTTTGTTATACAGTTTCAGGGAGCCTTTTCAGCACTTACTTTGGGCGCACAAAATCTCAAGGATAATGACTAAATATGGTGCAAGGGCAAAGCATCCGTACTTTGGTCTGTGTTTTCTTTAGGCAGCACGCATCTCTATAGTGAATGAAAACATTTTTGTTCTTGACATTCGACTGCTGTTATCACTTGGTTGATGTGTGCCATTTGGGTGAATCGCGAGCTGATGAAAAAAATGTTTTTGGAGGTAATGTATCAACAATGCACTCATTACTGCTGTGCAGTGTTACGCTGAAACAGATTAATACCCGCCTAAAACATTTCTTCATCGTATCGGTAAAGTTCATATGTCGACAGCTGACGCATCTCAATGTGCAAACCTTGCGTCGATATTTCATGTTTGAAAGAGAATTTCAAACGTGGTTTGGGGAGCGGCAAATACATTTGTTGCGCTTGATAGTGGGAGGATAAGAGGAAGGGTATAGACCATGGCCCAGCGGGGAGTATAGCAGGCTGAAACCTTCTCTAACAATATGCTTCAGGGAATAAAGGCTGGAATTAGTTTCGACTTAAATTGGTAGATGTGGAAAAATCTGTGATTGTACCGTTGGCAGCCCATGATTTTTTAACCCATCAATACTGTGAGAAAAGGAACTTCAGGCAGTCTTTACTTTGTTCTATTGCTCACTCCTCCATTTCTTTTCTCCAGTGAGGGCCGCAGGGAATTGCTTGGAGGTGGCAGCCTTCAGATTTCCAATCTCACAGAGGACGACGCTGGCATCTACACTTGTGTGGCTGAAAACACCAATGCAACAATTGAAGCCCAGGCTCAACTCACTGTGCAAGGTACCCTCAACACACTTAAAGTCACTTGACTTTCCATATTCCAGGTCACACAGTTATTCAGGGGTACGAGATAATAATGAAGCAGACATTATCAGAACCTTCGTTCAGTATAATGTAGGAAGGATGTTGCTACACACAAACGACAACCACAGTATTAAACGTTAATTGCAATCCCTCTTTAGCCATTTCAATCCAAACTGACTTTGTTGCGTCTATAAGACTAAACAGATCAAGGTATTGTGTAGTATCATTGTCTCATTGCATTATGCGGTTCTGCTTACTGCTATGGCCAACCAGTAAACAGTACACACTGTACCCTGTACACTCCTCCTATAGAATATTGCAAAAAATGCAAGATGAAGTAGAACCTTGAAGATCTTCGATGACCTGCCCAGAAAACGATGGGCAATTGTTCCTCATTTTGAAGAGCATTTTTCCCCAGTGGTCAAAAGTTAACTCAGCTCAGTCACTATGAGCCAAACCGCACTTGGCCACTGTTGATTGAAGGCATAATTTGCTTGAGAGCATAAGGCAATTATCGCATGAGGATGCTTGTCACCTAATGCATTTCACTTTTTATTTAGGACAATGATTGCAGATCAGCTAAGAAACAGCTGCGTTTTGATGTTGGGGGGAGGAGAGGGGGATAATCAGTGCAGGTATTTTATTCTCTAAAGCAAATCATCAGTTTGGTGTGAAGCAACAGTTAAATCGGGAAACACCCTGAGGCTGTCGCGCAATGTCACCCCATTTCCCACAAAGCCACATCACGCTAGGACTCCATCCCTTTGCTCACAAATCCCTTTCCTCTCCTCTTCAACACCCTTTCATCATTTCCTGTCAGACACTGCGATTAAAAGAGACAGTAATGGGAAATTGGATCAGGTAGCAGGAGGACATCTGACTTGGCTGCCTTTGAGCCTTCAGATCTGCCACTTCAATTCCTTGAAATCCCTCATGTCTAAGACCTGACCCGTGACCCGCTGTTACATGCATGTACAAATTGATCTCCGATATATTTGAAAGGCATTCGTCGTTATGTTAAGTTAAAACAGTTGCTTTCTACACAGAGAAATAGCTTTTTTTTCACCCCCGACCAAATTAATGACGAAAGAAGATTGTAGCATTGATTTGCTCCCTGAAACATCGATCCATTTCCCCCAAGAAATAACTGTGCTTGTAAATGAAATTCATACACATTATTTTTCCAATGGTGACTTGCTGGCGTTTTTATTTGATATGTTTGGAATTGAATGCGTAATGTTGGCGATAGGCTGCTCAAGAAAACACATTTCTAGTTTATGCAAGCAAATGGAAACTGGCTTGGTCATTGAAAGAACCTTTTAGAATTGTATTATCTTTTTTTTTTCCATACATTGAATGTTTGCCAAGGTTTTTTGAAGAATCTGGGGGGTTAAAATGTTTATTTCTCTCACCCAGTGCATTTCAAAAGGCGTCAGTTATATATGGATTTTTGCTTTTTGTCGGCCTGGCCAGGCCCTCTCCCCTTCAAATAGCAGCGATCGACCTTTTCGTTAAAAATAAATAAATAAATAAATCTAAATAGATTTATGGCTCCATCTTCTGATCACATCCATAAATTGGTATTTCTTTTAAATGTGCTGATTGGTGATCCCCAAATCCTGATCATGTAAAGCAAAAAAAAAAAAAATAGAAAAAGTAACATATTAAGGAAAGTTTTTTTTTAGTCCTACTCATTTGGTGTAAAAATCTATCCTGCGCGTGTTGCAAAACCCTTTAACTTTACAATGAGGAGTGCGATTCCGATTGGTATTTTGGAAAAAGTGATCTATCTTACAGAAATTATACAGAGGAAAAACTTTCCACAGAGCTTTTTAAAGCAAACAAATCAGATGAAGAACTGCCCCGACAGACACGCCTTTTCCATATCCTCAGTGGGTCTTATCATCACCAGCAGGGAGGTGTTTTTGTCTGATTGTCATCCACTGACTGGCTTGTTTGGAGTCTTGTCGCCCATTCTGTTCAGATAAAGCAATATCTGCAACTCACCAGGGCCATGTAGGTGACATTTGTCACTGTCACACTAGAGTTGCAGAGAAGACTTTCATTTTGATGCTCAATGAAACACCCAACCAACCCACTCCCCGATCCCACACCGGTTCTCAAATGTTTTAAATTATACACTAAGAAATCCACTTTTTTTTTTGTAATGCTATACAAGTCACTAGTTGTGCACACTTTGTGTTTTGCACATATCTAGAAATTTACACTTCCGTGTTCCATTCACAATCACTGTGCTATTGACTGCTGGTCAGACCAAGATGTCGTCCACTCTGCGAAAGCTGTTCGAGTCTCCAGCTTTTTTTTTTTTTTACCTTGAATATGGTAAAAGGTATACATTTTATGGTAGGGGAGCGTGCAAAAGAGCAGTTCTTTGCCATGACGGGATGACGATGAATGGAATTCCAAACAATCGGCTTTGTTTCACCATCACATCACCTTTTAATGAAAAAAGAAAAACATTGAATGTTTTGCATTGACTTTACATGAGCAGGACTTTGGCGGTAATAACTGAGTTGAAAAACAACTATAAACGATCAGCGATCCGATCAGGAGATGGACCAGTCCATTTCACCTACTTAAACAAATTGTTTATTGACTGAGCAGTAACCCCCACTATTTGCGGGGGATTGGGACCAGCCTGGGCCATAAATAGCAAATATTTGCATATAATTGATGGCCATTGAAATGTATTGGTAAAATATAATAACAATTAAAACCTAAAAAAATCTCCCCAAAAACATGAATAAACATTCAATTCATGGAAAATGGTTGGTGGGAAATCGACACCAGCCCCACCCTTCCACACCCCCCCAAAAAAAACAACATGAAAAATATTGGGAAAAATAATATTTTTAAAAATCTGACTGTACCTACCTGCTGAGAAACCTTTGGTTATTAATGATGGCAGCACAGAACGTCGCCTGAGTGAATAAGATTTTTGCAGTAATGTCTTAGTTTGCTGATCAATGATGTCACTGGCCGAAAACATCTTCAGACCTAATATAGACGTTCAGATGTGTATGCATGGCTCAGTCGTCATCACTCTCTGACGGTCGCCTCAAGCAGGCCGCCCCCGAGGCGGTGCATCGACCATCGGGCCGGATTACGCCAAAGTAAGGCTACTTGATTATGAAAAAAATATGAATCACGGTTATTTTGTTAATAATTGAAATCACGATTGTTCAAACTATTCAATCGATTCTGCCAATTTTGCAATTGTTGAGCCTAATCATAGTTTTGATTAATTGCAATATTGCGTTTCTAGAAAATACTTTAATGACAAAACATTTCTTCATCTGAATGTTTTTTGGTTTTTTTTTGACATTTGCCTCTTTGTACAGTAGTTCTTAATTTTATGTTACTTTATTCATTTGCCCTTCACGTAGAGTTTTTGTTTGTGGTCATAGCATAGTTTTTGTTTTAATGGCTTCAATGAAAATATTTTGTCCTCATGGTGTATATGCCTTTACATAAAGTGTAAAAGCCTTCTTTATCATCCATGAGCCAGAAGTCAAAATTCACCAATAAATAATTGATTAACACAGCAATAAGCAGACATCACATAAGACACTGAACAATAAATACAATCAAATATTCATAAAGAGTAATTCAAGAAGACTGTCACAGCAGGAACAACTGACTTCTTCCATTTGTTTGCCTTCCTGTCGCCAGAATATATCTGCTTCATGTCTTCATTACCAGCACTGCAACCTACAAAGCCTGCTGAGGCCTGCTAATCCAAACATTGCTTTGCTGCTCAGTCAGAGAAGAAAAACACACAGCTACTTTTTCATTTTTTTTTCAGGCAGCCATTTATTTTTCATAGCCAGGTTGAATGATTTTCTTGACAATTTGAGCTGGGGTACCACTCGCTTTGAGGAGCCATTTGCGGAAAAGCATATAAGAGCACTTGAGCTCCTACATTGTGGCCTTATGTGGACTGTTGATGTGCCTGCATAGACTGCAGTATGTAAAGCAAATTTTTATTGACCACATTTCCAAACCGCTTTACATCACCCTTCTAGCAATTCACACTTGGGAATATTGGATTTCAAAACGATTTCCATATATACAGTGGATATACAGTGTTCGACCCCTGTTTAAATGGAAGGTTATTTGTGATGTAAAAAAAAATATATGACTATGAGAAATAAATTCACAACTTTTTTCACAATCAGTGTGATGTTTAACCCAGACAACACAGCTGGGATCATGTTGTGTGCACACTTCACACCCTCTTATAACTTCATGTGGCTGTTCAGAATTAATCACATTCAAACAAACATTAAATAGGAGTCAGCAGAACACCATACATACAGTGGCAGTGTCCTGCTTTGGGACTGTTTTTCCCCCGCTGGAACTCGGGCCTTAGTCACTGTGGAGAATTATGAACAATACCAAATAGCATTCAATGTTAGCACAAAACGGTCAGGCTTCTGTGAGAACACATCTCAAGGAAAGCCTACTAGAGCACCTCAGTTTTATTTGGAATTATTGAGAGCCGCATCAAATGGTGGTAGGTGCCAGCCGACTCTCATTTAACACTTTTGAATGTTTACCCACCCATGCATATTCTGTACTCCAATCATCCATCCATCCATCTTCTAATCCATTTATCCTCACGAGGGTTGCGGGTATGCTGGAGCCTATTCCAGTTGTCATCGATCAGTCAGCGGGGCACACCCTGAACTGGTTGTTGGCAATCACAGGCATCTTCTGTACTGCTTATCCAATTTAGGGTCGCGGATCGGGTGGAGCCTATCCCAACTTAACTTCAGGCGAGAGGTGGGGTACACCTTGAACTGGTCGCCAGGGCATATATATATATATATAGAGAGAGAGAGAGAGAGAGAGAGAGAGAGAGAGAGAGAGAGAGAGAGAGAGAGAGGCAGACAAACAACCATTCACAGTCACATTCACACATAAGGTCAATTGAAATGAACATGCATGCTTTTCGAAAGTGGGAGGAAACCGTACCATTCTATTACCTGGAGAAAGCCTGCACCAAGAGGGAGAGACCATGCGAACGGCACACAAGGTGGCCAAAAACCAGTTTAGAACCCCCAATCTCAGAAGTGTGAAGTGAATATGGCAACTAGTCAGACACTGTGCCGCCGAAACTGAATGTGTCTGGTTGAATGCACTTTGTATGCAGCGATGGCTGTCTGAAAGTGCTCTATAAATACAGTTGAGTTGAGAATGTGACTGTTTCTGCAAACAGCCACTTTTTTAGATATTAAGATTATAGAATGGTGTGTCCACTAGTGCAACCACATTACAGGTATATAAATTGTTTATTTTGAATTTCCCTCTGAAAAAGATTCCTTTTATATGAATTGGGATGTACTGGTTATAGGTCACATTAATGGTAGAAATACCTTTGTAAGTAATTTATCTTAGCCAGATGTTTTAGCAGGGGTGTGTAGACTTTTTATTTGCACTGTATATACGGACATTTCTCCCCCCTTTGGTCATCGGAAACAAGCCAAATTACGCCAAGTCCTGAGCTACCATTTAACGGACATGCATGATCACAACACTTTTGCTCGGTCCAATAGGTTCCAAACGTGATACAAAATGATACATATCTGCTCACAGGGAAGGAGGAAGTGGAGGCTGGAGATGAAGAGATAGGCAAGGGGTTATAGTGAGATTAAGTGGCAGGAAAATGGGAGACAGAGTGGAAAAACAAAATGGAGGAAGATAAAGAAAGCGACAGGGTACCGGTCCCCATTAAAACCTGACATGGGCAAGTCTCACTGGGGGGGTTCACATTCACACAAAAACATATGCATATTTTGTGGTTTTACAGATTGTTCCAACATGGATGCAGGAAATCTGTTTCCATACTTAAACAAGTCGCTGTACAAACGCCACACACTAATGTGTTATGCAAATACAGAACCGAAAATTCCCCGCACACAAACGGTACCGCCAGTATCCAGATGCAATTTAATATTATTCATTTTCACAGATGGCTCTGCTGCCACAAGCAGTCTCAACTCCCACCTCGCTTCTTTCTTTTGAGGATATTGCATCTATTTACAAAATGCGGACTAAGTTGTTTCTAAAACTGAGTTCCTGCCTTCCAAACAGATGCCTGTAACTTGACGTACACTTGATATAAACGCTCACTCACTCGGTCGAGAAACAAACACCCAAAGGGACACCACACTGTGAAAGACATTATTTGCAGGTCACACATATTGCCGTGGGGAAGCCTGGTACTCACTCACAAATATACACACAGATGTTTACAGAGCAGGATGATGCCTTTTTCCGACTGCAATGTGGCGAGCTGGTCATCAGGTATCGCCACCCACGTTTGCTTGCTCGGTTGCTCTTCATGTTACCCCCATCTTGAACGTCTGTTTGTTCTGATACCTTTGTACCACACTGAACATAAAAATATAAATCCCAACGAGATGGAGTTGGTGCTTTCAAAGGTCAGGAAATAGACTCGGAATGTCACGTCATGTCGTTTTAGCCCCCCCCCGCCCCCCTCGGTTTTTCCCTAATATGTGGGGTTGTTGTAGCAGTTTTATTGCACCGAATGTCCAAACAGGCAGGCTGCTGCTATCTACTGTGCCTTGAAAAAGGATTCATACAACAAAGCACATAATTGAGGAGTGGAAAGAAGATGTTCCATGGTTTTCAAAATTTTAAATAATTATGAATCTTAAAAGTCTGGTGCTCATTTATATTCAGCCCCTTGTGCTCTTGATACCACTAAATACAGTCGAAGTGCAATCATTTGCCCTCAGAGATCACCTAATCGGTAAACAGAGTCCAATTGTGTGTAATTTACGCTCAGTATAAAAACAAAAAAATCTTCTCTGTGAAGGTTTTAGCAGATTGTTAAACACTAGTGAACAACAGCATCATGGAGACCGAGGAACTCACCAGACAGGTCAGGGAAAAAGGTAGGGAGACATTTAAAGCATGCTTTAGTTTATTTAAAAATAAAGAAATATCCCAAAGCTTTAACATCTCAAGCTTTCAACTTTCAATCCATCATCCAAAAAAATGTGTCATAAAAGTTTGTCATACAATCACCACACAGTCACTTTGCTCCTCTCTCATACAGTCGGAGCACACACACTCGCCAATCTGCATGATTGATGAGCAATAGCCATAACGGACCCTGACATGAACCAAAAAGGAAAAACAAACTAGATACAAATCAGGGAGATTTGCAAAAAGGAAATCACTCCCTAACTTAGTGGGAAACCTAACACCGGGAGGCAAGGACACACTTTTGTAGCGGGTCAAGACTTTTTGCAGGATAACCTCATACGTCACAATTTGGTCAATTTCATATTTCTTCAACTTATATTATTGGTCAGTCCACATGTGTGGTTGTTATTTTTACAAATTAACGACCAGTCAAAAGTGTTGAAAATGGCTTGCTGTCTTTTACGATGCAACGTTAATAGTTGAACAAAAACGCCATTTTGGGGGTCTCCTGAAAAGTGATGATTTTGGAGGCACAATGATTCCGCCCGACGTCAACAATATCCTGCCAATATCAGCGATCTCTGTGAGGAAATTGGTCAGTGAGTCCGCTACCTCATCATCAGTCAATGCAATCAAGCACAGAGCCCATCCATGCACTGTGAGTCTTGGGGTCTCTTCTCACATGCATGTACAGTGCGGTCCAATTCTAATACTGAGGACGTGCCCCTTGTGACCTTGTTGCACCGCTGATTGATGGGGTACTGCTTGGCTGGGGAAGATCAAATAACTCCTTTCTGTTCCTCATTACCAGAACCAGGAGACATGTGTATGCAAGTGCAAGTGAATCACAACCAACCAGCTTGCATTTCATGCTGACACACAGCAATGATATCAGGGTTGTTGTTATTTTACCCGTTGTGTCGTCAAGAAAAAGGAAAGGACATTGGTTGCTTAAAGCAGAATTTCTAGTGTGGCAGCATCTGCCTGGGAAAGTCACAGGTGGGCTATTAGATTAGAGAGTTGTTTTTTCTGCTCACCTTTCACAGAGAATTTGGCATATGAGGAGGCAGCATGACATCGTTCGGCTTTGTTCATTTCCTGCCAAAGATCATAGCACAGAGTCCTGGTCAGATTTGCCGTATCGTCTATTGAAATTCACGTAACTTGACAATTGCATATGCTTCAAAATAAAAGGAGCATTCTTTTCGGTCTTTTCACTTCGCCCTGTCTATTTTCCACAGTTCCTCCCCAATATGCAAAGAGGCCAGCCAACATTTACGCCCATGAGTCCATGGACATCGTGTTTGAGTGCGAAGTCACAGGTTCACCAGCCCCCACCGTGAAATGGGTGAAGAATGGCGACGCTGTTATTCCAAGCGACTACTTCAAAATTATTGTAAGATCATTTTTCCTCTTTGGTGGTAATTTTCTACATTTTCTCTGCAGTCACATTTTTTTAATGTGTGTACACACTGAATAACAAATTCAGTAGAGGCCAACTGCCTGAAAAACAAGATCATCCATATTATCATAAAGTGATTTTATATGTTTTCAAATGTCATGTTATTTCGACGTGGAAAGCAGAATTAACCTGCTCTGAAATAATTTTTTTCGGTTCAGGTATAGAAGTAACTTATTATATTTTAGCATGGAATATATCATTTCAGTTAAAGACCTCTGCGTACATCTGTATGGAATAATCATAAAAGAAAAAAAAAAACTATACTGACGCTTCAGTCTTTTGCGTAACTTTCTCCCTTCTTTTCCCCATTTTGTTGCATTGTGTAGAAGGAACACGATCTCCAGGTTCTGGGCCTGGTCAAATCCGATGAAGGTTTCTACCAATGTCTGGCTGAAAATGATGCAGGAAACATTCAATCCAGTGCTCAACTCATCATCTTGGATCACGGTACGCACCACAAACACCTGTTCAAGGCACATTGAATTAAGAAAATTGATTAAGTATCAGTTAACGAAATTATTATTCCTGATAGGACTACATCGGATCGTTTTACTCAGACAACAAACAAGATTAATGTTTCTTTTTTTTTTTTTTTTTAAACACTGCAGAAATCCCAAAAGTCTCATCAAGAATCTCATCTGCCATTTTTTGGTCTTACACTGCTTTTACGTTTGGCAGTTGTGCACAGCTCGTGTACTGAAAAGTAATAACATTCGACGAAACCATTGAATTTTGGTTTGACGTGATTTGACAAATGAAACATGAAAACCAGAACTAAAGAATATCGAGTGTTGCAGAAACATGGAAACGAATGCAGACTTTTGGATGCTGCCACTTGTCCACGTTCAAGCAATCTTTTAATGTGGACTTTTCTTAAACATAAAGCCTTTCCTGGAAAGGTGATAGCATCTGGAGGGCTCTCCGGCCCAGCAGGGTTGTCTGCAGCCAAAATATGCTCGAATTCTAAGTCTCATACTGAGTAACCAGACGCAGTGGCTCATAACATCCGACATGCTGGAAAATAGACTCATGGAAAATGTTTGAATATGTTTGTTCCTGTGCCATTACCTGTGAACATGAGTGGAACGTAGTCAAACATAATTGAATTGATGTTTCATTTGCAAGTTGATGACGTTCCGATGGTAAGCCGCCGCCCCAGGTAAAATCTCCCGACAAAAAAGGAAAACAACCAGAATAGGGCATCCTATCAGTGTGAAAACTGCAAAAGCAAAGCAAAGCAATTGTGTGCAAGGAGGAGGAATGGGACAGGATTTGATGTTTCTTGCTCGGCATATTGGCACGTTTGTTACAAGAAAACAAGGTATGCTTGATGAAAAGGCCTGGCTATTGTCTCTTGATGTTACAATGGACTCGGAGTCTGAAAGAAATGAGAAAACAAAAGTTGCCATTTTAAAATGCTGCATGATAACAGTAATCTTGTTTGCAGATCATCTTAGCACACTGCTGTGCTCTGCTCCTGAGCAGAGGGTATTTCATTTGCATTTATTGTTCTGTTCTATCGGAAGCACACTAAGTTGCACTGCTTTAGAGGAATTGTGGCTTTACAGGGAAATCAAGAACAGCCAGTGACAAAACCTTGGCTAATGCTTGTTAGGTTAGTTTTGCGTCTTCACTCTGTCAGCTCCAGTTCTTTGTAGTTCACCTGATTATCTTCACAAGTGGTTGTTTGGAATAGACAACGGTCAGTTGTCAGCTGGAGGTTCAGCATGTTCGCAGTCATGTGCCCTTTGACACTATTCTTCAAAAGTAAATCACTTTTTCTCACTGCAGCAAATATGCAACATTCAAAGACATATTTTTCCAAAATAGTACCCAGATTGGGGTCTAAAATGATCCTGAACGTTCTACATGTGCAATATGGGTCAAATAGTTGCAAACAGATGTGAGTCAATCTGAAAGCAAATGGCAAAAGTGCACATTAAGGGCACCTAATGACGTTGTTGCACAGAAAACAAGGAGGTGGTCGGTCATGTTTCTTGTGAAGCAGTCTTATTCAGACTGGTCATCTGGTGGAAGTGCTTGCCACGTGATGTGTTTTTTAGGCTGCAGACAAGGTAAGAACACATTTAGATAGATATTCCCAGGAACACGCGTCACCGACATGTTTCAGGTGCCCAACATACGACATTTAAGGGAGGTGAACAGGCTCAGCGTAAGAATATGACGTCACGCGGCACAGGAAGCCACGTTCCCTTACCGCGATTGCTGTTCTTCACTTGATTGCTTGGCATTTCTGCCCTATGAGTGTTTTTATTTTAATTTTTTTCACGCCATTATTTACTGTAATTATGACCAATTACTGCATTTGTGTAAATTCGTGTGAGGGCACAGCTGAAGGAAAGGAACTATGTTGTAAACTGTATACTGTAGGGATGATAGAAGATAAGACAAGATAACCTTTATTTGTCCCACACTGGGGAAATTTGCAGTCTACAGCAGCAAGATGGCGGGGGTGATAAAGTGTTTCATTGAGTGTCCATATGACATACAGGATGGGAAGCAAATTATAGTTCAAGTCCAGTCTTCATCCAGAGCAGTTCGAAATGATTTTACTTCAGTTTTCTTTTGATTGGCCAATCCTTTCCACAGCTCTTAGGAAGTACTGCAGAAGCACTAACGTCATCAAAATGATGAGAAGGACGTTTCGTCAGCTGCTGCTCTTCCAGGGCTTCTTGTTTCATCTTATTTCGACAGTGTCCTGCCGCCGACGTTTGCAAACTTTTCCGACCGCATCATTTTGTGAAGTGTTTGCGCATGATATTCTGGCACTTGTCAGTTACGGCTTGGCGAGGAAACGGGTACGTGTTTTTCAACTTTGAGGTTAGACAAAGCACTCATTAAAATGATTTCCACAGATGCTACAAAATCTAAGTCTGGTCAAATGGCACAACAGTATACTTTCTACCCATGTTTTGCAGCGCAGTTGCATTTTGCGTCGTTCTTGGAAATCTAAAGCAGAGACACATTCAAAGTTTGCGCTGGCTAAGCTATTAATAGGTAATAGTGGTGAGCTGCATATGTAGTTTTAAGCGTACACTATTTGTGAGTTCAAAGAGAGGGACCTCAAAAGCCACAACGGATAATGTACTTCAATTTGATCACAAAAGCAACGGTTGTTGAATGATACGGAACGCGGGCCTTTACCACTATAAACAAAATAGGAGGGGAGCCTCTGAGGTTGCGCTTTGGCCTTATTTCTGATTTTGATATTTTGAAATAGCCTTTCATTTATGGGAATATCGCTGTCTGAGGTGGTGTGCCCCCTTAATCCCACATCGGCCATAAATTATACTTTGACATTTTGCCTGCTTGTGAGCAAGGCAACGGTGACCCGGACGAGCACAGAATTCGGTTTTGGATCGTTGAGCTGCAAGCGCTGTGGCTCTTTGAGCAAGCATCTATTAGAAGCAGATCATATTGACATAGATGGAACTAAATTCATAACACATGATACATTTAAGAATGTGTACATTGCTGCTTCTGTGCAACAGCGGGCTAGTTAAGCTTCTATGTTTGATAGCAGGTCACTATGTCATGCCTTCCTTCATGATTGATGTCTTAATGGTAGCATTATTTAACCTTTAGACATGCTAACAAATAGTAAAGCTGTGTCCTCCCGTCCCATCAGAGTTACAAGACTCCCACAGTGAAATGGAGATGTCCCATGACTGCCACTCCTTGCGACTCCCACCGTCACTTTACAAAATATATTAGTGACATGACATAGTGACGGCAGAGAAATACTGCAAGTCATGTTTGAAAATGCCACATCTTAGATAAATGGATCACTGACTCAACTGTAATCAACCCTCTTTTTTTGGGAGATAAATCTGCTCTGTCCTTGAAGATACAATTAAATATTTAAAATATCTGTAATAATGCAAACAGTAATTAATTCCACATGGAGCGCACTTCTACTTGAAGGAGATGTGAATTGAGCAGCCGGCAGTATATTCACTGATATGGTTTTGCCAGAAAGTGACATTTATTGATAATGTAGTTTTCCTACATAGGTCATGATCGTGTAGTGGTTTGTACCCTGTGTTGTGGCCGCAACAATCGTGGTTCGGATCCTGGTCACGGCATGAGGACCATCCTCGATTTCGGCGGTCCAGTGGTTAGCGCCTCAACCTAGACCTAGACCTCAACCTGCAGAGGTCATGGGTTCGATCCCGGCTCCGGCCTCCCTGTGTGGAGTTTGAATGTTCTCCCCGGGCCTGCGTGGGTTTTCGCCGGGTGCTCCGGTTTCCTCCCACATTCCAAAAGCATGCATGGCAGGCTGATTGAACGCTCTAAATTGTCCCTAGGTGTGAGACTGAGCGCGGATGGTTGCTCATCTCTGTGTGCCCTGCGATTGACTGGCAATCGGTTCAGGGTGTCCCCCGCCTACTGCCCGAAGAAGGCTGGGATGGGCTCCAGCACCCCCCGCGACTGTTGTGAAGATAACGCGTATCAGAAAATGGATGGATGGATTTTCCTACATTTTTGCGGTCAGATAAAGAAATACTTTTTGAAATACTTTTGAAGTGCTTTTTGTTTGTTTTTTGAGAAAACAAAAAGTTGACCCTTTAAAAAGTGTCATCAGGAGGAAATCAGTCTTTTGACCCTATCCAAAACTTCCTTCTAGTTATATCATATTTTACGCCTCCCACATGCTTGAAGCACATTTCAAAACATATATTAACTTCTTGAAGCACATTCCTGAGCATATGTTCTGACTGTTCCACACTCAAGAAACTGTCGTGTAACATCGCTTTGAGCAAATGAAAAGAAGACTCTCACTTGCACACTTCTACAAATAAGACGCTAAAGAACAAAAGAATATTAAACATGCTTGTGTTTAAAAACACATCAACTAAACCATATAATTACAAAAAGCAGGTACCAGTAACTTAATGGTAACACAGAATGCAAACCGCCATAGACAGGCGAACAGAAATTAGCATAAACGTTGCAGTAATTTACTCCCAGGCATATATTTTCTCTGCTCTGCTGGAACAACAACAACTCTTAGTGGGGACCTTTTCTGCTACTACTTCTGTTATGCCGCATGTTTTCCAGCAAACCTTAGTGCTGTCTGGCCTGTTGCAGCACAATGTGGTGCTGCACAGAAAGCACGATTCTAAATTCGCATTTGCCCGTATACATTCAAAACCCATTCAAACGACATCTTCAAAATCTGCGATATAGCAAGGGTACGAACAATGAACGGTGATATAGCAGCTGTTCACCATAGTGGAAACACCTGCCTTAAAATGAGATGGTTTGGGGGTGCTCAGTGCTGGGTTGTCATTATGAGATGCTACAAAAGAAAAGGGAGGAAGGATAAATCGTAAGCTTATGCAACATAAAATGTAATGATAAGCAAAGTCTTGCAAATTGAATAAAGAAAGCAGTAAAACTAGTTTCGAAAGGCGCTAGGACAG